TGTTTTTTTTTAATTCAAATTTTTTATTATAATTTAATTTAACGTAACTAAGTAACTTAATTTAAGTTTAATAATTTTTTTATAAAGATAATAATTAAGTATTCTGTTAGAACTCAATAATTATTCTAATTATATTTTAGATTTTTTTATATTTTAAAATGAGATGTTTATCCTCTATTTGATTATGTTTATCCGCAGTTRGTTACACAAATTTAAACATAGAGCTTTAATAAGTTGTACTTATGCACAATTTATTTGTAATCTTAAATTTTAAGTAATATGCATTAATAAACAGTTCTTTATGCATAAAAAATGTTTTTAAGAGTTTTTGTCAAATGCTTTACAATATAGTATAGATAAAGTTTTTTGTTAATGTATATTAAGATGATAAAATGATAGAATATTTTAATAATATAATTAATGTTTAAATCTCTGAAATAGATGATCTGATGGAGTTGAATGTAACTTCTGTCTAAGGATTTTTTACTTTTAATTCTCTATTTTAGAAAAATTACAGAAATCCTACTGGATACGTTTATCCACAAATAACACGTAAAGGTTATATAGAAATTACAAATTACTAAAACAAAATTGATAATATTATCTTTTCCTCTTTTTTTTAAATATTTTTTTTTCGGTCGACATGTATTACGGTGACGTATATTATAAAATTACAATTTAAAAATGTTCAATTTCACAAAGTTCAAAACGAGAAAAGCATACTGAAAATATTTTTCTTGTGTTACAATATCGTTCTAACATATTTGAGGTTCCAATGAATGGATGTCGACACTATGACTTTTCTTGCAAATTCAGATATTCCTCATACCAAATGTATTTTTATAAATTCGAAAGTATCCATTAGACCTACCCCAAAAATGTGGCATAGAGAAAAAGAAGGGTCGTTTTTTCCACGTAGTTTGTCTGGTCAAACTAACAATTATCTTCTTAAAAAGTAATCTTCTATGTCACATGTATGCACTTTATATCCATTTTCTATTATTTAGATCGTTGTGTAACATAAGATAGATAGATATATATATATATATATATATATATCTATATATATATATATATATATATCTATATATATATATATATATATATCTATATCTATACACCTAATAAATAAGTAACTTGGGTGACATGTGTCATCTTGTGGTGAGTCGGTTATTTTATTTTCCCGCATAAATATGTATCTAGACACAATTTACACTAGTGGTTCAAAGAGGCCTATTTGTTTGACATCTGTCCCTCTAAAAATGTATACTTTTTTTATCGTAGTTTAACTGATTTCCCCACTAAACGGGATTTAGTTCAGATTAATTTTCTTCAGCTAATCTGACAGCTTATTACTGACAGCCTTCAGTTAATATGACAGCTTATTGCCGACAATCTTCAGCTTGTGTTTTCAGCTTATCGTGGCAGCCTTCAGCTTATCGCTGACACCCTTCAGCTAATCTGACAGGTTATTGCTGATAGCCTTCAACTTTCAGCTTATTGCTGACAGCTTATCACTGAAAGCCTATCACTGACAGCCTTCAGCTAATCTGACAAGTTATTGCTGACATTGTTCAACTAATCTGACAGATTATTGCTGACAGCCTTCAGCTTGTGTTTTCAGCTTATCGTGAAAGCTTTCAGCTATCACTGAAGAGACAACTTTCAGCTTATTGTTACAACTTTCAACTATCACTTGCTGATGTTGTCAAGGAGTTCTGTAAGACGAGTTTTGTTGGTTAACATATCGGCTATAAAAAGTTTTTTTTTTTTTTTTTTTTTTTTTGCCAAAAATATGTCTATATTTGTTCAAAATAACACATTTTATTTTATTTTTAGGGTTAACTTCTTTTTAACTAATTATTGGTATGGTTTCATTTCTAAAAATTCAAGTCTGAAGAGTCATTTTTCAAAGTTATTTCAAGAATACAACTCTGAATTAACCTCGTACTTTCGATGATCATTCATATATGTAAGATAAGTTTCTAA